TTCCCTGTGTACAAGGTGTCTGCAGCTTCTCTTAACCTATATAGACACCAGTGGGTTTAGTAGCCAGTGAGTTCACTGCCCTCTGGACATCTATGAATGTGTCTTAATCATCTGTTTCTTCAAGAAATTTTTAAAAATGTAATATATTTGAAAAAACTTGCACTTCTTCTCAGGGTTTGAACTGAGTTTCAAAGTTGAAAGAGGCATAATTGCCTTAGAGAACAGGCTAGAGAGAGCAAAGTGGGGCTTCAATTAGTTTGATGCATTTAGCTAGTCCACAGCCTTATTAGTATCGGGTTTAATGCTACCTGAGGCTTAGAAGTCCTTGAAGGTTGTTAGGGGCTGATCAGAGCCCACCTGTCCACAGGAACAAGATGCTTTGTTAATAGTAATGGAACTGTGTGCTCAACCTTGCTAGCCCTAACCACCATACATCCCTTCCCTGACATTGCTGGGAACATAGCTGCCACAAATCCATAGTTGCTCTGTTATGAATGTTTCCTTGTCCTGGGATCTCAGGTGGCAGGAGAAAGGAATGCCTCCTTTGTGACCCTGACTCCCTAGAGCTACCACAAAGAGCACCAATAGCTCTGAAGCAAAGCAGGACTCCTTCTGTATGGCAGGAGGTTCCTGAATGCAATTACTTATCAACAGGGAGGTTTTGCTGAAAAAACAATTTCTTGCAAAAAAATCAGTCTCTGGTTCTCTTTTCCCAGTCCCTTTCCTTGTCTCACTTGCCTCTTTGATAATAGCAAAGTAGCAAATTTTTGTCCACTTGGGTTTGTTGCCATTTACAGCCTGAAACAAGCAACAGCTTGGTCATTCTTGCTGCGTTTTCCCTAGATTCTGACACGCTCTTCAGCAAGGACAGGGATCCTCTGAATGCCTTGGTTCATGCTATGGCTGAAGTAGCTGGAAGGTCCAAAGGATGGAGCCACAGGGAACAGTGGCCTTTAAGTGCTGTCAAAGCCAAGCACAGCAATCTGGGCTCTGCCCACTCCCACTGTAGAGAACGCTGTTTTGATCAAGGAAAGCTACATCTTTCACCCAGGAAACAGTCCTGGGATAGAAGTGCCCAATCCCCCATTCTCAACATGTTTGTGTTACAAATAACTTAAAGGGAATGAAGGCCTGTCTGCCCCTCAAAAAAAAAAGAAAAAAAGTATATAAGGTTGCTGCTGAAGATGCTGGATTTGGAGAGAAATATCTCGGTCTAGACTTGGGGATGTGTGTGAGAGTGGCTGTGGGGACACAGCAGTAATATTTCCTTGCTTTGGCAGAAGGGTTTCCTGGCAGGTATCGCCAGCAAAGAAGGCGGGACTACCCTGTCAGCCTGACCAATGGATTTGCCGGCTGACACCCACAAGCTGGGGGCATCGGCAGCATTGGGTTTTGAAATATGAAGTGTTGGAGTATGGCCAAGCTGTTCATGTTCTGTGGGGAGCCACAATGAACAATTGCTGCTCTTCTGTCTTAGTGGAGAGAGGTTACATGATGTCAGTGCTGGGATGGCTGGGAGTGGTGATGAGGTGAAGTGCTCTGTGCTGTTTGCACAGCAGAATGGAAAGGCTGGGAGGGGAAGCACAGTTTTTGCCTGTTCGGGGATAGTCAAAGAAAATTAACTTTGAAGTGCTCCATGCATATCTGATGAATTTTTTTTTCCTCAATAGTCTTCCTCCTTTGGCCCAAACCTGTGATGGCTCGTCCTTGCTTGCTTTCTTGCCATTGCAACTGCTGCACTTCAAGCCAGGTGCACCCGTCTGCAGGAAGGAGGGTGCCCTCTCCTCAGAGCTTTGCCTGTTGTGGGTGACCCCAGCCAGCAATGAAGTACCCTTACAGCCATTCCCTGCCCCAATGGGACATGGGAGAGAATTAGAAAATCAGAAAAAAGTAAACTTGAGGATTGAGGTAAGAGCAGTTTAATGAGTGAAGCAAAGAAGAAAAATATGCAAGTGATGCAAAAGCTACTCCCTATCTCCCCTAAGCAAGACTATTGCTCACCCTGTCCCTTAGCAGCAGCTACCCTGGAAGGCAAAACCCCTACCCCTTATTCTTTTTCCCAACTTTGAGTGTTGAGCAAGTCATTCTATCAGGCGGAATTGGCCAGTTTGGATCAGCTGTCCCACTCACACCCCCTCCCAACCTCTCACCCACCCCCAGCCTGCCTGCTAGGGGACAGTGTGGGAGATGGGCAGTCTTGAGGCTGTGCAAGCGCTGTTCAACCACAGCAAGAGCATTGGTGTTCTGCCTACACTGGTTTAGTCACAAATCTAAATCATGGCATCATACGTGTTGTTACGGAGAAAGTTAACTCTATCCCAGTCCTTAACCATAGAACACAACATAATGGTAAAGATTTTCTTTTTTTTTTTTTTTCTTAGAGAATTCAGAAGATAGAGATCATAGACTTGGTTGTGAGCCTGCAAGGCACAGAAAACTGCTAGACTGTCAGCCTGCAGGAATGGATACAACTTACAAAGGCCTAGGGAGGGATGATCTTAATTTTCAGCACTTTTTAAATTCTTCCTTATTCAGCAGGTCTGAATTCCCAGTTGTTGTAAATTCTGGGAAATGATGAAAATTATCAGCATGCTTCAAACGTTGCCAAATTCAGTGCACTTTTTTTGTAGGATGCAAACTGGAAGTATTCTTCTAGGAATAGGTGTATTCCAGCTGTGCAAAAGAGTCTGTGCTTGACTCAGAATGGGATTATTCTGTATTTGGAATAAAGGCTCTTCTACCAAGGAAACATACCAGTTTGAACCAATTAAGCTGGCAAGGATGCTAAGAGCAAGCCTAGGGAAAGCTGAGGGTTTGGAGCATGTTAGGCTAGCGTGTATCTGTGCATGCAGAGAAGTGACTAATGTTTGTTCCGTTTGATTCCTTCAGCAAAGAGCTATCTCCCTGGAAGTGTTCCTGGAAGGAGCTTGATAGTCCTGAGCTGCCTCTCCTAGACACCAGTCCATAGCATGAGGGCTTTAACTGAAAGATTAGGAAATACACTCAGAATTAAGAAAGAAGTGAAGTGTAAAGAACGGTGTTGCCATGATCCATGCTTTGGAAATTTCTTGTAAGCTTTAGATGACAGACAACTAAAGCATCCATGCTGTCTTCTCTAACTGCTATGGTTGGAGGAAACCATTTCATCTCTCTTTATCCTGATTCTTCAGGAGCAGACAGCCTTCCTCACCTGCCCCTTCCCAGTCTTCTACATTTGTCAAGCACCAGCAGGGCTTTCCCCTGCCAAGCTCCTCCTGAAGCCCCTGACAGCTGAAATCTCCCTCCTAGGCTTAGATTTCCATAAGTGCTTTTCTACAATATTGACTGACATTGCTGTGGTACAAAAGTTGGTTGTATATCAGGGTTCTTGTCAGAGACTGAAATGGTTAATGATTTATGCATTCTAGGAGACTTTTGCAGGCTTTTGACTTTTCCTCGGATGGGCAGTTGGGCCTGTCTCTCCCTCCAGTGAAGAGCCGAGCTTGCAAGCTTTTGCCTGTTGCATTGTACCTCTGATGGGCAATTAAAGGTGTCAGGCCCTGAAGGGGTGGGGCCTCTGATGGCCCATAGGAGCCCATCTCCCCCTCTGCCAGTCTGCAAAAGGGTGGGAACCAGGCCAGACACAGAAACTCTTGCGCAGGGCCCAAGAGAGGTTGGAGGCTCGAGGCATGGCCCGTGACACTGACCATGGATATAATAACTCATAACTTCTTGGAGTGTGGGGGCTTCCCTCCTTCACCCCCAGCAGATCAAGGCCACCACTTCAACTGACAGACATGGAAGCTGCAACTACCAAGTTTCATTGCTGGACCCCGTGGGCGGTGACTATATACATCTGTCCACTCTCAGCTTTTCTTTCCCTTACTCTCCCTTAGCCTTATCCTGCCTTTCTCTCCCCTGTGCATTTTCTTCCCCCCCCAAAGGTTATCTCTATGTCACATTGTTATATGACAGCACCCAAAATGCTAGCATACTTGTTGATGCAAAATTGTCCCCTATGCATTTTCTCCCCCTCCAAAGGTTATCTCTATGCCACATTGTTCTATGACAACACCCGAAATGCTAGCACGCCTGCTGATACAAAATTGTAAAATAAACCTTATCAATATGTGTTTTCAGACACCAATTATTCAGTGCCTTTTCACTCTAATACACCCCAAGGGAATTATTGATAAAAACCTGGGTTACTCCCCTCCCCTTTTTCTGGGGCGGGTCATAACAGTTCTTAACATACATGATGCCACCAACAACGCGCCCATTGACAGATGCCTAGTCTCTGATATATTGTGATGCTCAGACTAATGCGCATACATTCCAGTTTGAATTGGGGATAGAGGGAACTTCACAGTAGGAAATTATGTCAGGGAACTGTGTTGGATGCTGTCTGATACTAACTTCATTTTAAATAGCTTAGCTTGTTGTTTTGAGCTCAGCTGAAAGCTTGACGCTAAGTGGAATGGACAAAAAGGGGAATATTCACCAAAGATAACCTTTGGGTTACCGTGCCTGGGAGGGGTTGGGTTAGATGCTCTGCATCTCAGCAATTACTTCTGAAGTCAGGTTCATGCCTTGAGCCCATTCCCTGGAGACTCTTCAGAAGCTTTGTAGGTAGGCGAGTTCCTCTGCACTGAATTTAGCTTTTGTGAATATCTGTCCTTGACCCAGTAGAGCCGTAGAAGTGCCATGTCGTACAGGCTGTGTGCAATAGGTATGGAAACAACAGAGGAGGCAACAAGGCAACACTTCAATTGAGATGATTTTTTTTTTCTTTTCCCACAAGAATAATTGGATTTATTTGTTGATAAAAATCTGAATGAGCAGGCACATCTTAAGTATACTGGCTTATATTATATATTCTATATGCCAAAGTAGATGATATAATGTAATTTTGCAACTGATTGTAGGAAAGCAAATGAAAGTGCCCTTTAAAAAGAAATCCGTAGTAATACAGTTGGAATTAAACTTGCTGTTATGAACTCTACTGAATAATGGCAACCTGCTTATTTTATCAAAAAAGCTTTATTTCTAAAACACTTTATATAAAGCGTACTACTAAGTAATGGTAGTTAAAATCAAAGTCTGCCAGTTCCTTTACTCTTGCTGTTTGACATGAATAGAAAGAAAGTGGGGTCATTCTGACTGAGGGAGGACTCACTTTTGCCCAGTGCAGCCCTACAGGCACCAGCTATAGTAGGATAAATGACTTTAGTAATCATCATAGTTGACACCTGCTCCGTGCCTGAAGCTGTGTGGATCTCGTGGGCCAATTGGAGAATCTTCATCGTAGTGGTGCTGGTAGTACCCACCATAATATTCATTACGAGCACGCCCTAAGTTTGTCCAGTAGGAGATGTCATCTTCAAATTTCTGCCGAAAATAAAAAAAAAGGGGGGGCATTTGCTTTCCAGCCTGAAACTTTACAACAGTGAGATGAAACAGAAGTGGTGCAAGAGCCTCTTTCAAAAATTTGGATCCTTCACACATTTGTTGTAAATTAAATCTTTAGATCTAAGAGGTTTTGAGACCTTTTGCCTTCCTGAGTGCAGGAATTGTCCCTCCCCAACCCCACCTGGCACCCACCCCTACACCCTCTGCCCACTCTAAAGTGCTGAAAGTGAGAATGCCTTCAACTGAAACGTGCTCTAAGCACCTTTAATATCTCTTATTACCTTGTCAATGGTGGACTTTAAAACCATTTTAATGTTTTGGACTTAAAAATCTAAAGGTTTAGTTGTCTGTTGTTCCGTGCCTTTAGTTGTTATGTTGGTGACTGGGGTGCAACAGGCTTTTTCTTTCTGTCTGTGATCTCTCACTCCCACCTTCCATGGGTAAAAATGAAGGTACAGTGCAGCCTTCTAGCTATGGAAATGCAATAAGCAGTTCAATTCTGCTCAAAACAGCAGAGGAAAAACAGTGTGCAAGGATATCAAATACTTGCCAAGCCAAAGTCTTTCCATCTGAATGACTCTTTGGAAATAATTTTTGGCTGAGATTTGAAAAAAAAATTTTGCAAAATATACAATGGCTAAGTATGACCCAAGTCCTTTGCTGGAACAAACAGTTATTTCATTGTTAAAACTGTGTCTTAATACTCAAGAAAACCTACTAAGTGGATTCATTGTATCCCTCAACAGGCCTCATTTCAGTTTTTGAAATACACACAGGAACTCAGAGGAGAATTCACTTTTTCTGCATGGCTTGTCTTTACTACTTTTGGTATTTGCCCCCAGTCTTAAGTTTCTGATGTATAAAACACTTTTCCTATTTTTTTCTATTCCTATTGATGAAGGGGGATATAGGCATACTGTTAAAAATATCCGCATAATGTCCAGGAGAATTAAAAAAAAGTACCCTTCATAATTCCAGCTCAAGCAAAGGATTATTTTTCTAATTGTTGCAGCTTTGAAAATGAGTGCATTCATCTTCTAAGCAATCCACATAGCATGAAGGTCTAAAATGTATTCCAACTTGCCTGTTCCAATGCAATTTTATTAAACATATTCATGCAGCTGACAGAAGCCAAGAATTCAACATCTATAACTATTTTTATCCCTTATTAAAAGTAGAAATGATGCTACATGTTGGACTGCAACCAAATGCACTTATTTTTCCCCTATTTCAGCATCTATTTAGTAGAGCTTTGTGCAGAGCTTGATTCCACTCCAGTGTTTTTACAAATTAACTGCTTTTAAAAAATGTATCCTTCTCTTTTGAATATTATCAAATGGTTTTCCTTTCACATTTAGAGTTGAGGCACAGCTGCTGGTGTTGGTGCTGGTCAGGGGAGCTGCCCACACCAAGGAGGCACATGTGTGCATTAGGTACATGATGTCAGTGCTATTTCATCGAGTTATGAATGCCAATCATAACCAGTTTGGTGTGGATTTCTGAGCGTGTTTAAAAGCAAGCTGATTAGGTTGAGGCTGACAAATTAATTTCCTGAAATAAGACTTATTGCTTTGAGTCTGGCCATTTATTTCTCAAAGCAAACTTTGTTAATATGTCCAATTGCAATTTATTAAGCTTACCTTCAATAGCAGGCAGGAACTCCACCAAAAATCTTAATGTAATTTTTTTCTACTAATAACATTTTGCAGAAATCTTTAACAAGTAAGAGAGCTAATATTTCTGTGTGACATTTGCTGCTTTAAAAGAAGAAATCTCATTCTATGTGGACAGAAGCAGGGCAGCTTCTCCCTGGAAACCCCGGGGCTGTGCATCCTCACTCATCACTGCTCAGACTGAACCCCTCCCAAGCCTTATAAAATCACAGAAAAGCTTGACTTGGAAGGGACGTTAAAGATAATCTAGTTCCAACCCCCCTGCCGTGGACAGGGACACCTTCTACTACACCAGATTGCTCAAAGTCCCATCCAACCTGGCCTTAAACACTTAGAGGGATAGGGCAGCCACCACTTCTCTTGGAAACCTGCTTTGTGCCTCACCACAAGTAACTAAATAATTGGGAGCAAATAATTTCTTCCAAATATCTAATCTAAATCTTTTTTAGTTTAAAACCATTCCTCCTTGTCCAATCACTACCTGCTCTCCCTCTTTTTTATAAGCTCCCTGTAAGTACTGAAAGGCTGCAATAAGGTTTCCCAGAGCCTTCTTTTCTTCCCGCTGCTCTCCACTTCATATACTCACCGCCTCATCGAATCCCAGGTACAGAAACTGCTGGTACCACTGCTGTACATCAGGCTGGCTTCTGTCCCACAGCTGGCGCCTCTGGCGTCTCAGGCTGCTCAGGAACTCCTTGGCTGCCATTTCCTTCACTGACACCTCAGGCTTTGCAGCAACAGGGGCTGAAATTAATTCCCCCCACAAAAGGCATGCCAGGAAATATTTGGTCAGCCTGAAGTGTACTGCTTGCAGCAGGTAAGAAAATGCTTCTCACATCATGCCATCACCTTTGTGCTTGCCAGTGCTATGACTGTCGCAGAGTACAGTAATAAACCCAGGAATCACTGATGTAATAGGATTTCTCAGCTACCCTCATTCTCCTGGATTTTTGAAAAGCTGTTCTGAGCTCAGACAGCAGCTTAGTAAGGAATTTAAATGTATACACCCAAAGAGCACATACACAATGTGTTTGTGCTTTGAGGAGAGAACAGAAGACTGGCCTCTCTGTGCTGCAGTTGCAGAAATTGGAATGAAGCCTCAGGAAGCTGGAGAAACACTGCTAACTTCTCAGGGTAAAGAGAGGTACACATGAAAAGATAGATTTTTAAATCTGTTGTGTAAGAAAGTAGCTTTGAAATAATGAGTGCTACTAAATGCCCTGTATGCCTGAAAATGAAAGCCCATTAGGCTTTCATAGCACACTGTGTGGTGGGTGCATGGGAATGTCCTCAGCCTGCCAGACCCAGATGTGACTGTCTGGCTTGCTCCATGCCTAAGAGTCAGGCAATCTGCTGTGGCTGCTAGAGGAATTTATGTACCTCCAAAAGGTATGGATGTGAGGACTACAACAGGACAAGAAGAAATGGCCTCAAGTAATGCAAGTTTATACAGGATGTTAGGAAAAATTCCTTCACTGAAAGGGTGGTCAGACATTGGAACAAGCTGCCCAGGGAAGTGGTGGAATCACCATCCCTGGAAGTGTTCAAAAAACACGTAGATGTAGCACTTGGAAACATGGTTTAGTAGTGAACGTGACTGTGCTGGGTAAATGGTTGGACTCAATCTTACAGATCTTTTCCAGCCTTAGCAATTCTATGATTCTATGACTGGCCAGCCCCCAGCCACACACAGAAATGATAAAACCTGGTATTTGTCTGCCTGTGAAACTCCTCCTCTTGGAGGAGTAGGAGAAATGTCTTGGCTTCAGAGTGTTAATTGGAATGAGGGAGAAATCAGGAACATGGGTGTCGACGGGGATTTTTGGAGGTTGCAAGGGAAGAGACTGGGGCAGGCAGGGAGGGAAGTCAAGGGGAGATGTGGAAACCTTTGAAGTAGGAGCTGGTCAGACTGTCAGGGAGACAAAGGACTGCAGTGAGCAGGCGATTCAAGAGATAGAAGTGATAGAGTTGTTGCAGAAAGAGTGGGAAACGGTAGGCTGTCCTGTGATGATGAGCTGGAAACTGGTAACTCAGGGTGAGCTGGGTGTTATTACTGGGAAGAGGGACAGCTGAGCAAATGTCCCATGAATAAGCCTCGCACAAGAGACGCTGCCAGCAAGAGAAATGGTACTGTGCACTTGGCCTGCTCACTTCAGAAACCAACCAGAAAAGGGGAGCGAGGCTGGAGTTAGAGGGGCTACATGTTCCCTCCTTCAAGGCTTTGCAGTTCTTCCTGGTCTAAGCATGATGTTTGCGTGCTCCAAAAGCCTCCCCTTTGGTGGTCTCTCTCCCCAGGGGAACTGAACAAACAAGTGGCCTGTTGCTGGGGTGCAGGGAGGACGTGGGTTGCTCCTGTCTGCACGCAAACACTGCAGAATGGTGTCGTAGAGAACTCGCACACAAGGAAAACAGATGTGGATGGGATACGTATTTTAGGGCAGGTAAGAGATGTTGGGTGATGCCAGAAAAAACCCAGTGAGAAATCAGGCAGAAAGTGGGAGTCCCCTCCGTGGCGGTATAAATATTTTAGTTCAGCAATAGAGCAGACTGAGGGAAGGTGATCAAAACTTCTGGGATATTTCATCTGCTGCTTGTTCCCAGTTGGCATGATTTCCACATCCTTCCCTCAGCCAGCAAGCCATTCTGTGCATCTGACTGCTGGGCCCATCATCTCTCCTCTAAGAAAGCAGTCTTCCGAAAAGGAAGCACATGTGGGGCCAAGAAGACAAAAAGAACAAGTCAAGGCATCATAAGCAAGCCAGGTTTGCATATTTTCTTCTCAGTGCCTGAGCCAGCAGGATCTCCATGCATTATAATTCCTCGGAAAAGCTTGTGACTTCCCAGAATGAACCAGATAAATGCCACATCTGCCATGCATACACTGGAAAAGGGAGGTGCTATGCACTGCACAGAGGAAAAGGCAGCATGCTGCCTGAGGTTGGGAACCCCAGTTTTCAGAGTGGGCTGTGGTAAGCAGAGCCTGCAGCCTTGCCCATACCAGGTCCCAAGCAGGCATGCAGGCACAGGCTCTGTCCAAGCAGGAGGTTTTGGTGTAGTATGTAGCGAAAGTGGCTGTGTGCTTGTAGCCTGCTGCTCCATCTGCTCTCCTTGGGCTGGAGGTACAGGGACCACAGCAGCAGCCTCGACTGACAGCAACCGACTCAAAGGAAAAATAAAGGAAAGCATTTGGCTGCTTCCTTACTTACCTTCTCGTTTCTGAAGCATCAGTTTAAGCTTATTTCCCCTTGAAACATCTAGACAAATAAAAATAAAGCACATGCATTTCTTGAAAAGGAAATAACAACATAAAGATTATTTCTCAAAAAATACCAGAAGTATTTTTGTCATAGCTCCAGTTCAACAGGCAAAAGAGAGAAGCTTCTCCCAGTGCTTCTCTTTACTCCCTTTTCCACATTTGAGTGCAACACACACCGCTTCTGACACTCCAGTATCCCCTCCCCAGCTCTTCTTGGCAACAGAATCCTGATGCTGGCCTTCTTCACCAAGTAAATTATATTTTTCATCAGAATACCACAGCTGTTGCCAGTACCAGCATCCGAGGCACAAAACCCTGGTCACTGGGTGAGGGCCATGCTAACTACTCCAAAGTTGTCTGGCAGACTGGCAGTCTGCCCGAAAGTACATCGAAGCAGTCATCCTGCTGATCCCCAAGGCATTAGCCCACGGTCCGGCAGCACAACAGGAGACCTGCAAGTGCCCGGCTGCTCCGAAATGCTTTAGTTCACTGGCAAACAAGCACCTTTTTTAGAAGATGCCCAACTTGCACAAGTTTGGAGCGTCCGAAGGTGCTAACCCACGCGGAATGCCAGGAAAAGGCTTTTTCCCGCTCCCCAGGACGCGCCGGGTTATGCTTTCCCTCTGCCCCTTATCCCGCACGCCGCGCTCACTCACCGGGGGCCGCGCAGAGCAGCGGGAGCAGGAGGAGGAGCAGGAGGAGCAGGGACGCCCCGGGCAGGGCCCCGCAGGAGCGCGGTGGCGGCATCGCGGCGGGGGCGGCGAGGCGAGGAGACCCACCTGTGCGGGAGGACACGGAGAGGATGGAGATAGAGGCAGGGACGGAGGAGCCGAAACGGGGGGAAGGGGCCCGACGCCACGAGGAGGGGCGAGGAGGTGGCAGGACCGGGGAGGGGAGGGCGGGTCCAGAGGCAGCGCTCCTGGCCCCGGCAGCTCCCCGGCGTCGGGTGGAGTTCCGCGGACTTCCGTGGGATTGTACACCCTGCGCTTAGAGGTGCGGTGAGATTCGTTTGGGCAGGACCAGGCACCCACCCGTGTGCTCGGCCACTTGCCAGCAACGCCTTTTTTTGGTGTTGCACGTAATCAATCCAGTGAGAATGGAAAAGAGCCGTCAGCGGTTCATGCTGGCTTTTCTGACAGGGGAGTTAAAAAAAAATAACTGTAGTCTGTCGTTTCACATTGCTCTCTATATAAACCCAGTTTGTCTGTTCCTTGTAAAAGCAGATGGAAATGGAGAGATTGTCTGGTGGAAAAACTAATCAGAATCCACCAAAGGTGACTTAGTTCAGGATTTTTTCCCTCTCCCTTCCTCCCACCGCCCAAGCCCACAGAAAACCGCAACGTATTTCAAATAATTTTGATTTCTTTTTCTGCATATAGACAGTTTTAGTTTATTGTAAGAACTCAGGGACCAAAAGCAAAGTCACAAACTAAAAGCCCTTGCTCAGGAGGTTCATAACTGTACCAATGCCTAAACTTACTCTCTCTTTTCCTAATTGAGACTTAACCTTCCCTCAGTGAATTAATCTTTCAGTTCCTTCCCTTACAGATGCCAGACACACCCTAGATGCATTCCTAGTTAATTCCTTACTCATCCTCAGACACAAACCTCTCTCTTCCCTCACAGCAGAGACCCACAACACCCCGGAGACCGTTATGAGCATCTCAACTCCTGCTGAACCCGTGCCAGAGTAAAACAAGATAGAGCTGAGCTCTCTCTGTAAACTACTTGTGAGAAATCCGGCAAGTGCTGAGGCCTTGGCTTTGTGATACAAGGATCAGTTCTAGATCAGTTGCAGTTGAATACACACACACACACACACACACACACACAGAGTCTGCATACTGTATATGGTGTAATTGTATATAAATGTGTATATTGAATATGCACATGTGCATATATACAGATACAGGAGTGCACACTGAGGGAGCTGTGCAGTGGTGTGGCAACTCCCTGTGATGAGATGTGTAACCTGTCAGTGCTATTCAGATACAGCTAATTGTGGGAGTGAGACCAGACCCCATGGCTGGATTTATCACTCACCATAAAATGCAGAAGAATCATCAGCATGGGCTGGTCCCTCAGCAGTGCCTCAGCCTCAGCTTGAATGCTACCTCATGCAACTGCTCCTGTTTGCCCAATGGATCTTTCTCCTTGTGAAAAAATTATTTGGACCTGCACTCAAAGCTTTTCCCTTGCTGCCCTTCATTCCCCAGCACCCTTGAGCTAATGCTCAAACCTCTCTGCTCATCTTTCATATAAGGACTTGTTAGAAGGGCATGTAGTGACAGGACAAGGGGAATGCCTTCAGACTAAAAGAGAGTAGATTTAGATTAGATATTAGGAAGAAATTTTTTACTGTGAGGGTGGTGAGACACTGGAACAGATTTTCCAGGGAAGTTGTGGATGTCCCATCCCTGGAAGGCCAGGTTGGATGGGGCTCCGAGCAACCTGGTCTAGCAGAAGGTGTCCCTGCCCATGGCAGGTTGGAACAAGATCCTCTTTAATGTTGCTTCCAACCCAGTTCTATGGATGCTGTGATTCTGTGATCCCAGTTGAAGTGGCAGCAGCAACATCTTGAAAAAACCATGCAGTTACTCCAGCCAAGTGCTGCAGTAACTCTCTGCTCTCTGCAGGAGCCACATCTTTCCATGGAGGCAAAGCAGGAGGTAGCAGCACCTTCCAGATCCCTGTGATGGAAGCACTCCCATAGGAACCTGAGGTCCTGGCTCCACTCCCACACAACTGTGAATCAAAATGTGTTTGTCTATTCTGTCATTGCTTCTGAGTGATTTTTCCCTATAGCCCCATGCTTCAAGTGTCAGCAGACAACACCATGTGTTGGAGCAAACGTCTCTTCTTCTGAATCAACGCACTCTTTCATCAGTTTAACGTTGACAACCTGTTTGCAAAAACCACCTGAGGTTTTTGGATAGTTATTCGCAGAATGTAGCTGGAAGGGACAGAAGTGAAGCACAAATGCAAGGCTACATGTAAAAGCTATGATGGAGATAATTTACAAAACCAGGGCAATAATTCATGAATATTCATGGTTTACTGCTATACTGGTAATGGCAAGGGGTGTTTCGTTCAGCTGGGTGGTTTATAACAAGCCTTGTGCGGGAGCTGGGGCTGTGCAGAACTTCAGGTTCTTTTTGCCTCTGGGCCAATGGAATACAAAGCACAGAATCTCCTCTGGATACCAAATATATCACTCAAGAAACTGCTGGGGTGAAATGCAATCTGGTGAAACCCAGAGAATAGATTGACTCAAGTACAAGGTTATTGTAGAAAATCATTTCTCTAGTGATGGAAGAAGTGATTGACAGAAAGCTATAATGCTCAGGTTTAAACTGAGTGCAGTGTCTCCCCAGAAGAGGTCACTTTCTCAGTTCAAGGGACAGAAGTTTTTGACATAAAGTAAAGAAGCTGTGTAAAAATATAACACCACTTTTTTTCGAAGGTAAGGCTGAAAGGTGACTGGCATTTTCCCAGTAGCAATCTTTATTTCTTTTCAGGTTGTTTTTAGGACTAAGGCACTGTTGCGCTGGCATTGTAGTAAGACGTATTTTTTTCTGCTGAGCTTGCAGCTACTGCATTGTCATTTGAACTATTTACCCCCAAGTGAATATCCAGTTGACATGTATGTGGTACCCCTTTCTGCTATTTGCCATGGAAAAACACAGTTGCTCTGTGTGCAGCTTGGATAATTCAGTGTTTTCCCGGGATCTGTCCATCAGCAGTGACATTGCTTTCTTTAAAACATGGATGAGTTTAAGGCTTGTCTTAGGGCTTGGTTTGCCTCCACTGCCATGCCAGTGCTTAAAGCTGTCTGCCAGGATGGTTGGGCAGCATTCCCAAGGGCACCAGGTAAGCAAGTCTGCATTAGTGATGTCATTCAGTTAAATGTCTTTCATCACCACTGGTGACAATAGTAGGCTCTTGGTGCTAAAATTTTATTGAAAGATGTTAATTAATGCTGTCAGCAAAACTGTTCCCCAGACAGCTCTGGAATGAGGAGCAGTGAGCAGGGTCCCTTCACACATGGTGTAAACTCCATCAAGCCTGATAGCATAATGGGAACCATGAATGGAGGAATGCCTGTGGCAGGATAGCAGGCTGCTGGAGCTGACAGGTTCATCACATTCGCAGCATGGAACTAGACTGAGGACTATGGTCTTGCAAGCCTGAGGCAAAAACTTGGGAGCAATCCAGCAGAAACCACTCTGAGCCTGACCTTGAGAAACTACAGGCAGGAGCAAGGCAAAGAGATCACTGAAGACAGAGAAATTCTGGTACCTGAGTCTGCTGCTGGCCAGCTTTGTCTTTGGAGCCTGCAGAACTTCATGTATAATTTTTGGGATAATTAAAGAAGACTCTAGCTGGTTTTCTAAATAGCTCTGCAACTTGCTGCATGTTTGGTGACTGCTTGGGCTACCCCATTTCATCTATGTGATCTCTGAGTTTATGTATAGTGGTTTTAAGCCCAGCAGCTTCTGCAGGTACCTAAAGTGATGTGGGTATGTGTGGCTGTTTAACTGGGGGGGGGAAGAGGAAATCTCTGCCTCAAAGCATTCTGAATTTTTAAGTGTTTAATTTTATTACTATTTTTATTATTATTATTATTGTACATTTTGCCTAAAATTTAGTACAAAAAGATTCCTCCGGTTTTGCATCTCATCACAATAGGTGTTAAGAGAACTGTGTTTTATTCATTAAAATGTAAGAGATAGTATCAGTAATGGCTCTTCAAGGATATTCAGTAATTCCAAGCACAAAAAAATGCATTAAGAAGATTGATCTTGGTTTATTTCCTTCTTCCTTTATTAGGCTTCATGTTTTCAAGCATTTCAACACAATAATGTTCTTAAGTATGTTGTAGATTAAATGTTTATATAATCACAGAACTTCAAAATCTGGGTTTCCAAGAACAACTCTCATAAGTCTCATATAGTGAGACTTATGATAGAATAATCAGGCCTGACATCAGCATAACTTAGTAGGCAAATAGGTAAGTTGGAAATTGTCCAGGGATTGCAGGAGATGACACTTCATCTTTTGCAGAGAAGCATCATGTAGATTTTAACAATCCATTAAAATTATCCATTTGATCAAGAACACGGCAGCATTGAACAGCACTCCCAACACCCAGAAAATGATTACTTTCTGCTAATGAGGTTTTTGCAAAATCTCCCAACCATATTGGCCTGGTCTCTAGCCTTAGGATAGAGGCACTTGGCACTCCAGATTGTTCTATGCAGCCTGTTCCAAGAAAACTGCATGAGTTTTTTTCTTCCAAACAGAAGGAAGAATATTTAAATCACCACTCAGTTCTTTCCAAAACATTTTGAGTTTCATACTATTTCTTCCACTGCTCTAGACATGTCCTGACAGTGTCCCAAGTGCCAGGGCAAACACTTTTTTTTCTTTAGGCAAAGTTTATTCGAGAGACTCATTGACCTTGACGCAAGGTTTGGTACACATTTCTGCCATTGCATCTCAACTGGTTGCACCGTTACTTTGGTCCATGTTAGCAATAAATATTAGAGCTCATATTTTCCATAGAGAATAGCTTAAAATAAAGTTTTTGGGGTTCTTTTTCTCCCCTGTGCTTGGCTACTGCTGATATTTTTTGCAGCATCTGTCTGAGCCTGTCAAATAAGAAATAGTGTCTGTCAGTCTGTCCGTCCTCCTCCTTTCACAGTGTTTTGCTCTCCTCGCTGTAGAATTAAACTTATTACTCTGGTAATAAGCACAGTGAGAAGCAGATTAGTTTGGCAGTGTTATCTGATCATGGCTGCTTCCTTTCCACAGAGGGATAAAAATATTCTCTCTCTAAGAAATCCTTCTCCT